CAACCTTTTCGCCGCATCACCGAGGTCCCCTTTCTCTCCTCCGCCTCGTTGTCTGTCTATCGTCGAGTACCACTCCGCCTTTCTCTTTCTTTTCTCCGCTCCTTTCCAATTCCCCTCCCTGTCTCCCTTTATCTTTCTCCACCTCTCTCCCGCACTTTCCGTTTCTTTTCCTCCTTGTCGCTCTTGCCATTAGTCCCCTCCCTCTCGCATTTTTCGCCTTCGCCGTGCACGTTCCTTTTAACGGGGTCCGGACTTTTTGCCAACGCGAGCCGTGCCCGTTGGTAGCGCTATCCTCCGGCTAACACGAAATACGAGGATACCGTGCGCTTCGGTTCGTTCGACGATCTCGTCAACGAAACGCGTGCTGCCCGCGCGGAGCCACGCGGCCAGAGTTAACGTCCCTGTTCGCGGCTGCTCCCTGTCATCGGGCGGTTGTTTCTTTCGCGTTGTTAACCCCTTGCCCTACAATATCGTGTCAGACTCGCGACGCAGGTTGCGAACGGAATTGAACGAGTACAACTGTCACCTTAATTCTGTCCAGTCCAAATTGAGCATCATTTTTTTTATTATTAATTCTACTGCCTGTGAGTAAACGTAGGCGTAGAATGAGCGTGAAATTATTTTTTTCTTCTAATGAATTCTCGACAGGAGATATCTCAAGATATCTCTGTCCAGAACAGTTGTGATAAAAACCATATCGCAAGGGGTTAATAATTAGTCAGTGATACAGTTAGTGACACAGTGTAACCGAACCAGCAAACAAACGAATAAATCATAAATTCTGACCATTCGTCTACGAGCCTATCAAAGTTTTCATCGTAGATGATCATGAAAAACACGCATTCCTCAGTCGATTAGATATTTTCTTTCTCTCGTCTAAGCTACAATCAATCTTGCATCGAATATCCACGCGTGAAAGACACAGATAGCTGGTAACTGATAAAACTGGTTTCTCATGTCTACCGAGGCAATGCGTAATTAATTGAGCAGATAAACAAGACAAGAATGTTTGACTAGGTTTACAAGAATTTCCCCATTGAAAAACTCCTTCGTCGTTCGAGGACCCCAGTAACTAGGCGATGAAGGAAAACTCACCTTAGAAGGGTCCGGTATCCTCTCCAAACCGAGTCCCCTCGCGATGCTGCGCCGTATGATATCCAGCTCGGTCTCGTCGAGGACGGTGCCCGTCGTCGGCCGGTCCTCTTCTCGGAAAACGTCCTCGAACGCGTCCTCGTAGACGTCCTCGAGACCGGTCGAGTCGGCGAGGTCGTGTCGGGGACCGGTTCGCGACAGCGGGCCCGGCATCGGCACGCCCGCCACGGGCGAGCAGCAGATCGCGAGGATCGCCATCGCCGCCAGGAGAACGGTGCTCGACCGACTCCTCTGGGACGTTCTGCGGTGCCTATCAGCCACCGGTGAACCTTCGATACTGTCTTTGAATCCCGAAGAACGCGAAGCGTCGACCGATCGACCGAAAACCGAGTTACACGCTGGCCAGTCCGCGTCTCCGGTCACGTGGGCAACAGCAAAAGGCAGGTCGCTCGCTACCGTCTCGATAGAAACTAGAGTCTCTTCGCGATCGAGGAAACAGGGATCAATTGGTCTAGGTCGTTGGGTCGTCGGTAGCCCGAAACGATCACCTTTAGAGAACCTTGAAGCTAACCTTCGATCTCTGACATCGGTGTTCCCGAGATCGGCATGTTCACAGTTGACAGACGTAAGCCGAGGATCGTCCGGATGCGACGACGGCGTGGCGCACTCGCGAACGCGTTCTCCTTGATCCGGTTCCGGTGGTGGCGCGGTCAGTTCGACGGTTCTCGGAACGACGCCGCCGCGGCCGGGAGCGATCCCGCGTATGGGGACCGCGACGAATGCGCGGCCGGAACTGGCGCCGCTTGGCCCGCACCAGCACACCGATGCCTCCTGTTCCTCGTTATCACGGGTCACGCGTCCACCAGTCGTTGCCAGCTTTCCCATAGCCGGCTCGTGATGCAAGTTCGCGGCCGACCCGCCGCGATGTCTCCGTCCGGGGAGCACCACCTCGCACGCTCGGCCCGCACACGATCCCCTAAGATTCCTCTATTCCACCTTCCCGCCTCCCTTCGACCGCTCCCTTTTCCCTCGTTCACGGTGCTGCGCGTATGTCCCTCTTTCCCTTTCCCCCGCCTTCTCCTCTGCTACCTTCTACGACTCGCGAAGGCTGGAATTCCTTTGCTACTCCGTTTATTTGGGTTCTCCACCTGCGCTCACGTTTCACGGTTCGCGCTTCTGATGCAGCCCCTAGCTGCACCTAGCTTTCAAACTGGCGCGGGCACTGTTGTTATCGTTCAACTGTGCAGACGGTGCAGTATTAACGATGTCATTAGATAAGAATAACTGTTCCGTTGAGAAGTGGTAACCTAAACGCACCCTAAAAGTACCAGACCGCGTCTTGTCGGCGACGGGTACACTCGCACTCGCACTTACTAACAAGATGGTTAACTGTACGCTCAATTCACAATACTTTCCGGAAACTATAAATTGTCCCAAAGATTCCTCTTCTTCTGTTTCTTCTTCTTTTTCTTCTTCTTTTTCTTCTTCTTCGTCTTCTTCTTCAAGTTCTCGCCGAGGATTCAGATCCTCCCGCGAACGCGAAGGGGGTAGCCTGGGTCGGTCGTCCACCGGTTCGGTTTCTTCTTTCTGCGGGAGGGTAACTGCGATTTCGGGCGGCACGACGGCAACGTCGGCGACGACGACGACGGCGTGGACCACGAGGCAAGTGAGGAGCGAGAGGAACACGGGGGAGACGGTGCCGAGGCGGTCATCTTAAAACGCGAACCGATCGAGGACCCACGTATCGCCGGGGATCCTGCACGCGCTTCTGTCGCGTCCACACGACTTTTCCTCGGTGGCCGGCGCCTCCGTTTCCACGTGATCTCCGGTCGGCGAGAGAGGTTTTTGGCGTACGCGAACGGACGCGAGGAACGGTCTGCGACGGGACGGTTACGGGACGAATGGACGACCCGTTCCGTTCGAGTGCCGCGCGTCGACTGTCGAATACCGTGGCAACGCGCGCTCGCGTATATATCCCGTGCTGACTACTCCCCTACTACTACTACTTCTACTACTACTACTACTCGGGATTAAGTTCAATACGTCCTCACGAATATCAATCGGTCCCGATATCTGACTATCGTATCGTCACGGAGCAGGAATTACCCGTGAAAGTCGGCACGAAGTTTCGATTTCCACCCTGGAACGATTCTAGGGGTGGCTCATTCTACCCATTGGTCACGAAATTTTCGAAATACCTTGTTTTCCTTTCGAATGTTCCGGAACGAGGGATTATTCTTGCACTCCCGATAAAACGATTGGCACGCTTTTGTTTTCTTCGTAAAAATATCTTTAGCGACTCAACGACGAATCGAGAAGTTTTTTAGTTGGGGCTCGATAAAACTTGCTTTATTTACTAACACACTGTATTTCGAGATTAAAACTAGAATGACGGAGCGTAGTAGTGGTGAACAGTTACTCCATCGGTTGCTACATTACAGAAAATTATCAGATTTCTTTTAGTACACTTCGTACACTTATCTTCCCAAAATTCGCTAGCTTATACAACAGTTGATGTTATTTAACGATTCCAAATGATTACCTTGTCCGAGTCGAGAACTGTGACAAACTTTAAGGCAGCGAAAGACAGAGGAAAAGCGAAAAGTTTTAAATAAAGGTAACTGGCACTGTCGTGTTACCGATCTCTCGGCATCGACCTCGACACCCTGTCGCGACTCCATCATTAACTCCGCCGTTCTCACCGTTGCCGTCATCGTTAACCGGTCATCTTCCCGTTCACCGACGCTCCGATGGACACACACCTCACGTCCTGGATCGACAGGATGTCCATGTGTCTCGCTGGAAACCGATGGTCGCTAAAGACAGCGCGAGCTGCGTTCGACGAAACGTGAACGCGGTCCTAGCTGGCCCCGGCGCGACGCGGCGGCGCTCAATTCGAGCGCCGCCGCGTTATCAGCGGAAGGGCCGTTAAATGGAACAACGTCGACGAGGAAATCGAGAGAATCGGGCGATTGGAATAATCGCTCGCGCCGGGTCAAATGTTGCCACGACACGACCCAACGCCGCGATATTCGGTCGCGACTAGGCCATTTTTCCGGTGCCGGATAAGTAGTCTGTTCACCTAACCCAGGGGTCGACAACCTGCGGCTCGCGGCGCTTTCATCCGAAATCTGTGTCTCTTCAGCTTGACTAAAGCAATTAACCCTTTAAGCAGCTGATAGATGACTCTCCGTCACCACTTGATTCGGTATAGCGAAACTCTAAAGTCTCGTATATATTGAGTACAAGAAAAAGTTGGTGCGGTTTTCTCGACAGTAATGTCTTAAGACCCGATTTCAATTAGTATTTCAATAGTTTAATGAATTAAATTGCTGTTGGTATGAAAGAAATTGAAACAATAATGTTAAACATTGTGTAATGTATGGATATGTGAAATATTAAAATACAATACTCTCCTTTCGTAATTCACGTATGTCTTCTCCTTAGTTAGCTTCGAAGAATTTCTTCTGTGCCTCATCGGGAACTGTTGGATATTTCTAGTGAAAAACTTTCGAGTGCAAAGGGTTGAAGAGGTCCTTAAAGATGATTATTCCATTTTAACAGCTTGCTGTCATTCATCAGTTGAATTCTATTTGCACTTACATTAATTTACGCCTGAAAGCAGCGCAGGTCTTCATAAGAGTGTTCCACATCGTATTTATTAGTGTAAATCATTTAAACATATAATATATTAATAAAGTGTGTATCTTAAGGTTCAAAAATGGTCGCTGTGAACAAATTCACCGGTCAGCAAGCTGTTAATATTTTTGATTTACACTTTCATCCTTGCAGCCCCTTGTAGAAACTGTCAAATAAGTCTACGAAAAAATGGCACTTCACTGAAAAGTAGGTTGCCGACCTCTGACCTAACCCACCGGAAGCTTCACGGCGGAGCGACGTAGAAACACGCGTTCCTTTATTTTTTCGGGGACGCAAAATTGCGTGAACGCGCGCGACATTCAGGGAATCGGCTCCTCCCCTGGAATTAGTAAAAGCTTCCTCGTAGCTCGCGAGCTTTTTCGCGGAACAAGGAGATCGCGTGACGCCATTGTCACCCTCTATCACTGAGGCGCTACATGACGCGTCATTGGAGGGGTTTCGCGCGATTCCTGATAAGTCGCGAGTCAACGATCAACGCGAAGTGTCTCGTGGAGAGAACTAGAACGTTTGCCCTAGAAACTTTCTCGGTTTATGAATGAATATCTCTGACTGGTAACGATTCTCTGTTAGCATTGCTGAGCTAAGACTTTCATGGACTCTTAGCTTCTTTTTCTATTTGTGCTTCAGGAAATGTAATTAAGTTTCTCGAATCTGATACCAATGTTTTGGAAAACTCCTTTTTACCAATTGCTGTGAGACTTTTTGTTGATTTTGTTTTCATAGCCCTTAGGCACTACGCCTGAGGACTTCGCGGATAAAGCGTCTCTATTTGATAGTAAGGTTTTATACAAGGTGTCCAGTAGGATTTTATATAAACTTTGCTGATCTGATAAAGGAAACGAGTGATAATTATTATTGTTAATAATTAATGTTATTATTGGTTTTATTAATATTTAGTGATAATATGTTAGTTGATTCTCCCAGCAGTTCTCAGACAATATTTCGTCCTGGTCTTGAATATTTCTGTCGTAGCCCCTTCAAATTCAATTTCACGTTCGATCCGCATTCAAATACTCAAGAACGGTAGCCTGTGCAGTCAGGGTTCGATGCGGGTATTACCCGAGATACATTGAGTACCGGTGAACTTCTCCTATGCATATGTATGAGCCACTAAACTTTCCGATTAATGTTCCTTATCCGTATCATCTGTGCCTTCAGCGAACGGCTTCCTGGTACAATACTACGATGCAACATACAGTGAGTGCCAAGTAAAATTCTACACAGCGCTCGCATAACTGCTCTTTGTTAGTCGGTTCAATCGTATGAATAAAATTGAAATAAATTATAGACAAACGAATCAGCACACTTTTAAAAGTTTCATTATTAAATCTGAATATCTCTTAATATGTACACTTAAATAGTCACTGAGAAATTCACAAAAACAAGAATAAAGCTTTAAGAATTGATCAATTGGCAAATTATTTCAATCTGAATTATGCGATCAGGGTTATTAACAAATGATCATCTTTCCAGTATAGAGTCGCACGATTTCAAACGACGCTCACCGTATATGTTTACGCGAAGCTGTCGAGTATAACAACGTTGCCGCAAGAAACAGATTCAACGTCCGGAATTCTCGCGTACTCGGAACTCGGAACAAAAAAGACGCAGCGTTCAACGTGCGGTTTCCTTGAAGGGAGTCCCCGGTGCCTGCGGAATGTCCTCGAATCCGGAAATTCGAGTTCGCCTTCTTCCTCCACCCTTTCGTTCGTTTCCCGGTAGACGGGATTTCTTCTTCGATCGATCTGGCGTCTCTCGACCACCTAACCCGGAGCAAAGTTTTTTGCATCTAAATATAGCACGGAATGCAAACTAATCGGTTACCTTCCTATTAATCCATTATCAATAGCAGTGAAATTTCATGGAATTTAAACGAATAGTGTACCAAAGTCATCAAAAGCAACAACATCCACATCCATTTTACCAATTCCAGCTTCTCTCTTCATCATCTCTATTCTATTAATCACAAACTCAACGCTATCAGACCCCACAAAATCTGAAACTCGACAAAACAGGAAATCCACTTCGTTCACAGTTTCAATTTCAATTTCATCCACGAATTTACCAGTATTCCCAATCCACTCAGCCGAGGTTCATATGTAAAGATTCATTTGCGATGGAAACGATCATTTAATAATTATCATTAAAGATTCCCCATTGACTCACTGGCATGTTGTCTATTATATCACGTTACTTACGCAAAACTCGTTCGCCTGTTAGGAGAAGGCTGTTACTGTTACTGTGAATGAAATATGCGCGACCCAATCGCGGACCGCGAACGAAGACGGCGATCCATCGTTGATCTCCGTCTCGGCTTAAAAATGCGCCGCGTTACATACGTCGACGCTCGTTCCTGGAACCGTGCGATCGTCGCAAGGTAGAAGCGTGATTCATGGGATACGCGGTCGCTCCTGCTCGCCCCTCGTGTCATTCGTCCTCGTCGAAAGCGGTGAGTTGCCGCTCGTTGCGGCCGTTTCCCGCTAATACCCCGTAATATTCCGTAATACGCTGATGACTAAGCCAATTTCGCGAGCCGTGTTCCTTCGAAGCGAGCCGTGCCCACGCGTCCCACGGCCCGCGAATACCGGCGCGAGCGCGATTCACATCGAGCGTCGCGGAATCTCCGCGACGGGGAATCCTGCGATCGATCGATCACTCCCCGCCCTTCGCAGCAACACGGCGAATAACCCCATTGCCACGCGATTTACTTCTCACACGAACGTTACTGCTTACGGTATTTAACCGTTTGAGTGTCACGGGTCTTTGCAAAAACCCGATCGAAAAATGCCTAGCGACACGATCGTGCTACTTTCGTTTCAGCTCAGAAACTGAATTACGCTTTTCTATGTTCACATAAAACGGTTTTAAATAGTACGACCGTTCTATTTTCCCATTTCTAAGCAGGCAATAGAAAAAATAAAAATTTAATAATTAGAAAGAAGACGAATAGATAAACTTCATTTTATACTGCTTGGCGCTAAAATGGTTAATCCGTTGAAATCTTTCAAAATTATGTTAAAGTTTGATGTTTAACCTTTTGCACTTGAATGGCCATTCTCAGCAGAAATTATAAGATTTACTGTTTAATATTCAGTTTCGTGTAATGCATTAACATGAGGAATCTTGAAAGAAAATATTTTCTTCTTTCATCTTTGTATCATTTCTTGTTAATTACTTTCGGAACATATCGTACGTATCTCATTATGAAAGTGTTGAATATTTCTGGTGGAGAATTTTCGAGTGCGGAGGGTTAGTTTTGTTGAAACTCTGTAGGACAACTGTTATAGAAAAAGATTAAGTATTACAGGTTCAATTAAAGTTGTTCGAGATTTAGTTATTTCCACTTCAAAGAATCAACCCTTTGTCATATAATATCATGAATAACATTACATCATTTTTCGTGGACATAGATGAACATGGAATTCGTTTTTGTTTTCAGTGAATTATTAATGAAAAAGTAATTCTAGCAAGCGCAGTTTTGAGAAGAATTATAGATCAAGAGGTTAACATTTTAAAATGTATTGTCTTTTTTTCAGAGAAACTTTTTTTCTACGATACCATTGTAATCGCGTGAAATGTTATAGGTTGGTTCAACTGGAAAAGGTGTGATATGATAGTAAATAAATTAAAAACCTGGAATTCTTTTTTCATTTGCAGTAACTGTTTATTTGGTCAACTGGCGTTCAATCAAAATGTACATGTTGGCAAGGTCGTTGTAGAGTTAGTTCAAAAAATTGTCTAATAAAATACATAACGGAAAAAGGATGATTTATGACGGCAAAGGAATAAACGGATCCACGTGGATATACATGAATAGTCCGCCACTTGAGGAGCATCGAGCGATTGGTCACCTAGCCGGATGACCCTGAAGGTAACCTAAAAAGCCGAGCCATTAAAACCAATTATTTCTTTATTATCTCCTAAACGGGGAATAGTATTCAATAAAGTTTTGGCAGATATTCTAAAATTATTCGAATGATACTCATTGTCACATTCCAAACTGTTTCCAAGAAGTTATTCATCAATCCTGTAACAGTAAAATTAGAACAGAACGCTTTCCCTGCGTAGGACGTAGTACTCTGTACAACTGCCAAGTCTAGCATGGAAAAAAAATGACAATCTCAGCCAATAGAATCAAGTGTCAGTCGAAATCTCATTTTACGAGTCACGCTCTCACGACATATTACAGTCACCTACGTTGCACCGCCTTTCGATGGTGAACGTTACTCTGTGAAATCACCCTCGGGCCACGTTCAAATTCCACAGAATGTCCAAGAACCTGCCAAAAAATACAGCTTCCCTTTAGAATTGAAATCAGAACTCTAAATTAAAATTGAAATCATCTTCGTCTTTTTACCTACTATTCCACAACAAGCTTCATCGATGATTCCTCAGCTAAAAACGTAAGAAAATCATCCGAAAGAAATTGCGGTTTCTTCATTATTGTCAAGTAACTTCAGCTACCTAGCCAATAACGAATCGAGACCGCCGCTGATCGAGGAATCCCGTCAAGCTCTCAAAAAACTGGCAGCCGGAAGGAAACGGAGGAAGGAGGCGAAGCCAACCGGCTATGTGTGCGCCGCGAAAGTCCTCGGAAAGGAACGATCTGTAACGACGTCGACGTCGTCACCGCCGCAGCCATCATCGACACCGTCTCCTCGAGTATCGGAGAAGTAGCTGCAGGAATGCCGGTGAATCGCTAAAAATGAAGAAGCCCCATAGAGGCCGAGCGTCGGCCGAGGATCATGGGGATCCGCGGTTCCCAAGGCCGAATCGATCCCTGAAACCGCTATATCGCGCGCGTCAATAGCGACAAAGCGTTCGGAACCGCGGTCTGCCGATCGCTTGGCTATCCGAGCCTCTTCCTCCACCTCGTGCAAGGGGGAGACCCTCGATCGAGAGGGAAAACGGCCACACTACCGTCCCGAAGCTACGGGATTGAGTCACTGACGAAGGGGACCGCTTTAGGGGACGACTCTAATTCGTTGATTGCCGCGCGAATTTTGTGCGTTTCGCGTAAGTACAATTTGTCCGGATTGTTTCCGAGATTAATGTCGTTGGAGGTTAGGTCTTCTTATTTAATGAGTTTCTTCGAACGCAGACGATAAATGAGAGTGATCTCCCTTTAAAGATGTCTTCGACACTTTTAGCCCCTAAAACTAGGTTTCGAAATGAAGCTGTTCAAGGACTTTAGTAAACTTTAGGACACTTTAAGTACTTGAAACATTGAACAAGGGAATCTTAAAATAGTAAAATATGTTATTTTCCTAAGTTCTTTTCCTCGAAACACAGCTACATTTCAATAATATCATTATTTAACACTATGTTTACGGAACGCGTCAAACTGACGCATATTGGATTTTAGAAATATTATTTTGTAAATGTTTACGCCGATTTTGAGTGATGCGATCACACTCACATGTACCCCAATTACCTACTATCAAATCTCCAGTTTCTACAATCTAAATAAACGAGCATCAATTCTTTTAGGAATAATAGAATGAAGTGTACAATAAATGCCCGTAAACCTAGTGTTAACACGTTTGAAACTTGTCACAGCCAAGGCGCTCGGTTCGCAGTCACGTCTATTCGTTTCATTCATTCCGCTTTGTCATTACTCTCTCGTTCACTGAGTAACACCTAACGTCCAACTGCATTTCCCTCCGGTCTTCTCAACTTTCCCCGTTCCGAGTGCATAAAAATCAATGAAGAAAAAGAGGATACAAATTGACGAATAAAAATTCGTTGACCAGCGTGGTCGGCGCGGCGCGGTGGCGTGGCTCGTCGAAATAAACCACGTAACCCCGTTTCGGGTTGAGTAACATCGGCGCAGCTGTTCCTTTATTACGATACATCCCGCGCGTCCCAGATCGGGAAAGGAACTGCCTGCCCTTCCTCCGACCTTTGCAGATGCACATCGCGATGCGCAACAAAGCCAATAATTACCTTGGCGGGACGTGCGCGCCGGCATGGCCGCCCCGATCGCTCGATATCTTTGTTAACGACGCTGGTTCCTAGGGATTAACGGACGCGAAACGCAGGATTATGGACGCTCCACGAAAAATGCCTTCCTACGTCTTCGCCGCCAGCGATCCCCTTTCATTCGCGGTCTCTCTCCTACGTTCCTCGCTCCCCTCTTCCCTTGGCGGACTTATCGGTCCATCGGCATTGTTATTCCTATCATTATAATTAATGTCTTCATTATGCAACCGTAATATCGGGGTATTCACGGCGTTCGGGACGTACGTTCTTTGGGGTAACGTGTAAGAGACTCGAGATGATAGCGAATGTTTATGCAGTTGTAGCTTCTTCTGTTCTGCGAAATATGTGTTTTATTGCGGATTAAGGAATTGGTCAACTTGAAGCAATCCTTGTGAGCCTTCTTTACCTTTCCACTGTGAAACTTTCTGGGGAGTTTCCAGTTGATCTTATATAGGAAAATTGTAAAGTTGGTCGATTAATATTAAGATATTAATATTGAATTAAAATAGTTGCTCAACTTATATGCGATTTCTCTTTAAGTTCGTTCCATAAAGTGTCATCTATGTCACACTAGAAAACGATTAATGTTTGTAGTGGAAAACTATGAAGTGCAAAGGATTGATAAACCACGGATTTTGAAGCAATTTTACAGTATCCCAACTTGAATCTATACATCTATACATTAACAACATGAAAGAAATTTTTGGTTCTCGCAGTAATAGTTTGTATAGTTGATTTTTTTGATGGTCTTTACAATTGATATGCTACTAATCTATTATAAATAGTCTACTAATTAAGAACGAAATTATAAAGCAATTTCAGAAATTCACCCGAGTCTGAAAGTGGACGCGAACCTAGACGAGCGAAGAAGTGCAGACCGTATCCGATATGACGGTAGTTGGAAAGGGAAAGCAGGAGAAAGGAGGAATTTCGGATATAGTAAAAAAAGATGATGAGTCGCGTTCGTTCGGCCAATAATATCCGGAAACCGGGAACCATTTAAGGGCACGCACACACAGGTTGCACAGCCCCAGTTACCGGGGCTAATCACGTGGGAACGAAACCGCGGGTCCGGGACCCCGCAATGTTTGACCGGCGTTCGGATGGGTCTTCTCGAAAGTCGAAACGCGTTTTCGATTACCCGCGAAACCACCGCATACCCGTGGTTTCTAGTGCTTCCCGTGGTACCCACAGTTTCGCGCGCTACCGACGACGTTCCGTCGTTGCGCGAAGGAATTCCTTCTCTTCCGCCCCCTACTTCTCAACTCCACGCCTCTGGCAAACTATCCCCGCGCGACGCGTATCGTTTTCTAAATACTTCACCTTTTCTTAGCTTCTAAACATTTCTTTGGACATTTCAAAATTTCTTTTGACAGGCATGGAATTCTTCATTCCTTTAACACTAACCATACCGGTACTTTTCTTACCGTAACTAGTAAAATACCTGGCTACAAAATAGAGATAAACAATTTAGATGATGAAGTTTTCTTAGTGAAAACAGAAACAAAAGGAAGGATGAAAACTGAAAAACCAATTAATCGGACAATATAGGAATTGATACAAAATTAAATGAACAAAAGAAAACGTAGAATTCTAAATCCGGTCATTCTACCAGTTCCTAGTACGGTTAGTGTTAATAAGGCGTTGATGACAAAGTAACTGTTGTGAGAGTGATTGCGGAAGCAATTGTCAACAAAGGGATTCTGAAAAATAGATGATTATAGCTGGTAGGATCAGTATAATCAAAGTAAGCTTGAAGTTAGAAATATTAGAGGTAACCCTTTGTCCTGTTAGATGGCATCAGTGGTCACACAAAGTTGAAATTTCCAGAATAAAGTTGAAGTTTTTGTATCAATGATATGCAAGTTAAAGTTACTTTTGGAAGAGGAGAAAGACGACAAGGGGACATTTAAAATACCATTGTCCATTGGATCGAACGGTAACTCTCGTCTACGGCCTATTTAGACCACCCTCGAGGATCGTTCGAATCGAAAAGATGACTACGTTGACGGGGACCGGAAACGTGCCGACAGCCGGACGGAAGGAAAGCTCGCGGACAGACCGATGCGAGACGGAACCAATCGCGGATTGCGAAAACAAAGAGATGAGTCTCGGGAGCGGCTGTGCGCTGTCTACGCGACAGGTCGACCTGCTTATCAGTTGCGCGAGGCTGAAAAGTTTCTAGACATCTAGAATTTGCACGTCAGCTCTGAACTATCTGTCCTCACTATTTTTGCAATCTCTCCCTTAGTTCGCTTCTCAATCTTTAACTCTTTCGTCATAACAAAATCATCTATTCAGAAGCTATTAAACAAAATTATACTAGGACAAGGGAGTAAATTTGTTTACTAAACATGATATCGCAGGAACAGAAACGTTTTTAAGGAATTATTAAGAATGATATCATTTTCGAGAAGTACCGATTATATGATATCATAAGGCAAAGGGTTAATTCAGGAGGAACGACCTTAAGCGACTCAAAGTTAAGGGCAAAAGAGTTAAATCCCCGCTAATCGGCCTGTCGGTCAACGGAGAGCCGGCTGAGTTTCATTTACGTGTGACCCGAGCAATCGATCGACTGGTGAGTTCAAGTTCTTTCCTGTTACTCATCCACACTGGAATCTTTTGTGTACGGGTCATGCTCATGCCTATATATTGCTCCAATTCGACTTGTTTGTACTTTACGAGCACGCGGGGTAGCTTTATGAACTTACGAAGAGACGATGGATCTCTGAGATAGACGTGTCCAAGTATTGAAAGTAGAAACAGATTGTTAACAATTTGTTGATATCGTAACCTAGGACAACAAAGAAAGTTCTTTTTCTTTTTTTCTTTCATATTATTAGCCGCATACAAAAGAAAACAATTCATCAATCCATCGACTGATTAACTTCTAACAATTAGAGCATCGAATTTTTACAAACTTCACCTATAAATGATCAGATGGAGTGTTTACAATAAGCTTATATCTTTGGTGATGTTCGTTTTATTAAAGGTAGAAATGTTATTGATAAATTTATAATTTTTAAACAATTATATATACTTTTATGCATGACTTTTCATTGTTAATAAGCATCAATTTTTTCATTTAACCGTTTCAAGTATTCTGAGTTGTCTACGTAGTCGGGTTCTAACATTATGTACATATTACAGTAACGAGGAGTCACATTAATAAGTTAGGTAAATTAGTGGAGTTATATAATTACGTGTGCGCTTGGAATGTCTACCGTTGTGTCTTATAGCACCTACGGCAGGCAATTCTCCTAACATTACTGTTCGCGGATAAGTCGTATTCCTGGGGCTCGCGAGTCTCGCAAAGAGCAATAGTAACGAAAAAGTATAAACAGTGGTGTTTTTACGCATAGACTATGTAGATATGTACACTTATAAAAAACTGATAAAATACACACTTCATATTCAATTAACAAAAATAATTTCCGAAAAAAGTTGAACTCTATTAAACGTCAGTTCTCTCAGGAAAATGTGTATTTGTATAAATTTTCGCAATTTATCTATAAATGAGCTTTTAATCACTCCACCCTGAGAATTTTGGCTCCTGAAGAACGCACATGACTGAGCTTTTCGTGCTTTGCTCCTTACCCGTTGAAACCGGTCCGCTTAGACGCCATCTTGGACATGTCTGATCTAGGGACCGGGAGCTGTTCTAATCTATAAGTACAATATCCTCTGATCTGTCTCATTTCCATTGACATTGAAGTCTCTGATGCCATTGATCGATGATAAATTGATTCTCACTGACTCGGGAAGAGTTGATTCACCATTCCAGCACGCCGGGTATGTACTTGTCGATTAGCTTCTCGTAGTACGGCCACAATTTCTCGATGTCCGGAACGTCGCCGCTTTTCGTGTACAAATCATATTTGCTGAAACACAAATTTGCGACCATGATTGTTGAGCTATTGACAAAGACAATAATACTGAAAGTATAGACTGAAAGTGGCCCAGTTAATAACGGATAGCCAATACTGGGATTCATTCGAAGTTAAAGTTATCGTATTCTAATGTCACGTGATTTAGAACATACTATAATTAAATCAAATCCACGATATATTAATCGCATTACATTTCGCCTAACTTTATATTATACGAAAGAAAAGTATTCGAGTGAATATTTTACACGACTAAAATTGCTTTTCGCCACTGAAAAATCATACACCACTCGCAAAGCCTCAGGTAGCAGTAAGTCCTTGAAATTTATTGCCCCAATTTCGATTCGGATTACTACCCGCGTTGATTGCCTACACCTGAGACGTCCTTCCTTCTCCTCGACACCCCGACGTTTTTACGAGCACCACTGCAGTCAATAAGTACTCACTTGAACTCGTTGATCCACTTGAGCTTCTCCATGTCTTCGTCGTTGCAGAAGTGCATGTAGTCGCCGCCCGCGTGCCACGGATAGAACGAATGGTAACGGATCATGGCTAACGCCTCCTTTGGCAGTTTGGCTTTGTTGTGCACCAGCACCCGGTACAAGTACTCGTCGTGGCCCCAGGACATCGTCAGATTCTCTATGCCGCACCCAGGCTTGTAAATGCCGTATTTCGTGCTGAAATCGAATATTCGGGATCAACTTGGTTCGACCTTCTCTCTGTAACGTCGCGTGACTTGGGGACCAGCGGGATGCAAAAAGCATCGGAAACTGTTTCCAGTGAAGTGGAAATTCTTAGAAGTAGTAACTACTAGTTAGCAATTCGATGCTTTCGAGTCAATCTGTGAGTATTTAATAGAACTAAAATGTAATTCTTATCAAATTAACGAGAGTACGCTTTTCTTTCATTTCTGTTGATGTTCGTTGCATTGGGTAAGTGAAACTATTTATTCTCATACTAATTTATATATTTTTGCGGTGTCAGTAGTTGTAAAATAAAAAAGTTCAAAACAGCTACTTTAATTACTATTTTAACTACTTCCAGTATTAACCTATTTTGTCCTGCATACAATTTTTGTTTAAAGTCTGAAGTATATGTTTTTTTCTTATCGAAAACTGTGTAATATATTTCAGTTTAAAGTATCAGTAGTAAAATGGGGCAAGGTAGATTGCTGGTTACTTACTTGTAGCGCGAGTCCTTGCCGTCAGGGTTGTCTTCGAAGCTCGACTCCCTGTAGACGATCGAGTCGGCCCAAGCGCATCCAACCGGAAATGTATCGCCAACTACAGCCCATTGCGGTTCACCATAAAACGCCATCACCTATGTACGAACAGACAAAAGGTGATTAAGACGAAGAATGGTAATAGTAATGCTTCCTTTAATAGTGGCCTTGATGTTTTAAAGAGAAAAACCGCGGAAGTTATTGTACCTTGCCCAGATCGTGAATTAAACCAGTCAAGTGGAACCAATCTAGGTCAGGATGTTCTTTCCTGATAGATTCCGCGGTTTGGAACGCGTGCACGATGTTCGGCAGGTCGATGTCCGGGTCGCTTTCGTCTATTAGATCATTCAGCTTGATCAGAGCGTCCTTCACGGACATCTTGAACTTGTTGAACTGTAGCCAGTCCTTCATGCGCGCTGAAACGACCCGAAAGAACGTAACAACGAGTTACATTCGAACATTGTTCCACCTGTTGACCCTTCGCACTCGAAGGGTGACTCTAGGTCACCACTCGATTTGATGCAGCAAAATTATAAAGTATCATATATAATATTCAGCCTTGCATAATGGATTAATAAGTGAAATATTGAAGTAAACCAGATTTCTTTCTTAATTTACGTGTGTTCTTTCATTGCTTACAATTATTTTCATAGGAAAGTATTGAAAGTTTCTATTGAAAAATTTTTGAATACAAAGGGTTCAGTATGGGAACGATAGTGTACTAGCCTAGGGATGTTTGAACTTTTATGGTTACGGAGTTCTTATTTTTACTGATAGTGCGATGGATAAATACGTTTATTCAAATATCTTGAAACTGGAAAGAAAAGTGCAGAGAAATTAAACGAAGAAAATCGCTGTTTTCTAAATTTCAGACTACATAGTTTTATTTTATGAGGAGATTAGACAAAGGATTCTATCATGTTCTATTTACAATGCTTCAATGAAATTCGTTGCAAAAGACACGAGCAGTTTTGCCAGTATCATATGATTTATATAATATTGTTCCTGAAATTTGATACTGCCGTTCACCATGAACCGACGCCACGTTCAACGAATTAAATGAACTCGTTCACAGGCTTCTGATATGTTATTAAATTGTTAGTTCAACACTTTGACACTTACATTGCACGAACTCAACAGTCTGATTCGTGTGCATTTTCTGGTAAGTCCTTCGAACGCGATCCATTACGGGATCAATATTGTCCTCCGCGAAATTTCTAAACTCGTTCTCCAATTTCCCAGAGTACACCGGCTCCGGACGATACTTGTCCGAAGGGTCCAGGATGGCGGCTTGCCTTTGCGGCTGCGACTGCGGACAAAGAAGACCCTTCTCGTTATCATTCCCTCATTACTCGCCAATCCTGTCCATCTTTCATTTAAACGATTGCAATTAACGCGCATTCCTTTCGCAGCAAAGTTAACTCGCGAACCGTCCTCAAAATTTTCCAATCTCTCATTGACCAGTCTTATCGACAGAAATATGCAGTAGCCTCATAACAGATTGTTAATCCGGAGATCACTTTACAAGAGGACGAAGAAGGCTTAATTCGTCAGATAAAAACTATCAACCATCAGCCGATATCTTCTATAACAATTCTACCCCGTGGCAAGTCTAGCATTACTTGACTAAAACTTTCCGCTTTTCGGTTTTTTCTTTCTCGAGCAAGTATCTGATCAGCTCACAACATTTGCAAACGCATTAATCTTTACAGAAACATAGATGCCACGATATTATTCTATCAAAGCAACGATCGAACCGAATTCTGTCCATCGGTGATTACGAGAATTCAGTTCACTGTCTTATGCCAAATAAATACACCGATAACGTTTTATTCAGATTTCGATAAAAGGAAGAATTCAGGGTAGAAGGAAAACCGGAAAGGAAGGCGCGAGGTTTGGAAATGGCGCGACGCCGAAAGGAGGAAATCTTAGGCGACACGTGTCAGCTATCGGCTCGTCTTCGGTGATACTCACGATCGTCTTGGCCGACATCTGACTGCACGAGATTGTGTATTCCGGTTGGTGTTGAGTCTGCAACACTGACTGACTGAGTCCCGTGCGACCGAGTTAACTTATAAATCTGAGGCAGTTCACCCTTGACCTCCGCTTGATCAAAGTGTGGTCACGTGTGTAATATTCGATACACGGTATCGCGGACCAATACATCCGCACGCGTTTCTAAAGAGTCTAACAAATCCGATAAGAAAATTCCGGTGGAATTTAACGATCTGCGTAGCAAAACGCGATTGCGGGGGCCACGCAGTAATCGGCACGGTTTTCGTCGAACGAGCCCATTTGGTACCTCTTCCCTTCAGGGTCTATCCGTCCGTCACACCGCCATAGTAGAGTATTTGACCCGCAAAAGTGGCAAAACTACTTTAGCGCTATTTATATGCTCGGAGACAATAATATTATACTTTGTTGAATTCATATTAACCTCAGCTATAATAACGTAAAGTTGAAAATATGTTATAATGCTTAAGGCAACCTTGATTATTTGTAACAAACATTTTTTTCGAAATGTTGTGGAATAGTTTGTAGAGATCTGAATACTGATTATCTTTTATTCTGAACAATTTTTTCTCGCGATATTGGAAATGCTTGACGAATGCTGCCGAAAGTGACGATCGCAGTGTATTTGGATGGGAATCTGAAGAAAATTGTTTTTGCATGTACATTACGTTGAAATAAGGTACATTATTATTTTTATACAATATTTATAACAGGAATTTTGGTGCGAACGCTTACTACCAAATTAGCTATGAAACTTGAGAACGGATGAACGCGGAACCAAATTTTGTTCGATTGTAGTCTTGAATCCCCATAGAATAAAATGAGGCTAGAAGAAGCATTATTGACCACATTTAAGTATTGATAACCATACAAATAAGTATGATACAAGAATGATCCACGAAAACGTATTCATAATGTGAAAAATTACACAACCTTCTTAAAATATAAAAGAAAACATTAATAAATGCACTGTGTGTCGTAGCATGCTTGAACAGGCAGCATAATATCTAACCCTCGATTAAATTTACTAATTCATGAATGTATATAAATCATACATTCAGCGACATTAAGTAATACAAAATTCACAACTTATGTAATACTTTTAAATTACCTTTTTGCCGCTTTTTCGAGTCAAATACTCCACTTTGCATCGCTTGATCTGTTCCGTCCTGCAACTAGCCAGCCCCTACACAGCCCAAACTTCCTTCCAATGTTTCTAATCTTTCACCAAATTTTGAAACCCTGATGGTACAGTTTTTTTATCGAGGAAAGTTAAAAACTGCAGCGTTAGAAAGGAGATTGTAGTGTCTTACTGCTTTAGTCGTTTTATCATCATTATACATGTTCTAAATTTGTCCCGTAGAAAATATTATTTAATAATGGTTGTATAATACATGTGGAGGGGAAAGAAAAATTTCAGTGAATGTGGAAAGATTGAATGTGAAGTTGAGGGAATGGGTGCATCTGCGACTTTTCTTATAGTCTAGAGAGAATCATCAAAATAACCCTGTATCGACTGTGCGTAAATTAAACATTGCTCGGTTTGGAATAAATTGTTGAATGAACTGTTCTAAAATTGCAGTCGTCTTTGCACTGATCCGCTGAATTGTTATTTATATATTAATTGTACGTAATAGACGCGATGAATCATGGATGACTTTACGTCCTAAACTTCATTAGTTAGCACGTGTGTCACGTGAACAGCCTTGAAATATTACGAATAAAGATAGTACCTCCTTTAATTTCTTCTAGTTTATTGTTTTTTCGTATAGGTTGCAGTTAAACGAATAACAGAATTGCATAAATCAATAAGAATAGTTGCGACTGTTATCGTTGTCGTACAATAATCGGAATTTCCACGTAATCAAGCCGATCCCCACCTTTCCCAGTGCTAATCGTGAAAAAGATGTCAGCCCACAGGAAAATAACAGCGTGGCTATGTTTATATAAGCAACAAACGACATAATCGTGCGAAAAAGGACGCACGGTGATATCGCGCTCGCGGACGCGTGACCGTCGTCTCGTGAATGGCTCTTTTATTCGATAAAAAAGAAATCGTTTAAATTCTTCTGGGAACGGCACGAAAAAATTGTTGCGCCTCGGTGTTTTCCTGGCCGGTCGTGAAAGGCCAGTCTATTCCGCGAGTAATTAAATCTTCCTCCCTCGGGACAGAAACCCGCCGCCGTCGAATTAACGCGTAACGAGCCAAGATAAAAATTTCCTTTGACCCTCGACATTTTAAACGGTCCGAATTCGATCGGTCCAATTTCATCTAAACGATTCTTTGACCGTTCGTCTCCGCAACCGTTGCCATCGACGAATTCCGTGGTCAGCGGAATGAACCTGTTCGCCAAGTAAGACGAGTTAACTTGTCATACATAATTAATCTTAGCCATTCAGCATTTTTCAATTCGTTTACTTGTAAGATTCTCAAAATTAATCGCAACGGAATATTTTGTGCGAATAAAATGTACTGTTTGCGATTCTTTCACAGAAAATATTAAAAAAGTAAAAGGAATAAAGTAATAAAAGGATTGCAAAATATTTGGAAATTTTGTATTCTTGTGTTTTGAAGAAATAAATGTTGCTTTGGTACAACTCCGACGTAGAGCGTGAAGTGCATTGCGCGCACTGCAATATTAATGCGGTACTGTTAAATAATAATTAAAGGGGGAAATGTATATTCGTTCCATACGAATACGTGCGTTTCAAGTACTTAGAATTCAGTGCATAGCATCTACGAAAACAAAATTCGCCTATAACGATAAAAAAATAGTGTGTAAAGTTTTCCGTTAGATTACGTGAGACATTAGTCAGTTATTTATGATACTTACCTGTGATGTCAAAGCAATAGGGATGTTCTCAGAAGATATACCACGAGGTGTACTTTATCATCAATTGTTTAAGTATAACATCAGTCGTTTCTCTTTCCCGGTTTGTATGTTTCGAACAGAAGGTCGGTATCAATGAGTTTAAGGATTGGTTCATTGTCATTCAAAGTGAATGCACCAAGCTATCGATTCCACAGGTCAGCCCTTCATAAATCGGTTCAATGATTTCCGATATCTTGTCATTCATCGGTGGTTTGCCATGCGTGAAGCTACTTTCGTCCTCCTCTGTATTCCATTACCTTTGAAGTTCGTTTCATAACTTCCCTTACACGTGCGTGGACATCTCTACTGTTAACTTATACGCAAGAAAATATTCTACTTGAACTTCTATCATTTGTACAATTTTTGAAATTATATAACATAGTATTGACAGTATGTTCTGAATAGAATAAACCTTTAAAAGCATCAACATTTCTTACTGTCCAAATGAAAAAAAAACCCAATAAAAGAATCAAGTCATTTGTATGCATTTCTACAATCTTTGAAATTATACGACATAGTATTGGCGGTATGTTCTTAACAGAATGGAGCTTAGAAAAAATCGACATCTTTCACCATCCAAATGAAAAAAAATCCCAATAGAAAAGGATCGACGATTCCCAATTACGAGGTATTACTGTTGAAGACAGGTATATAGTGAGTGCGCGTGCCGCGCACGAGGGTGCACGCCACTTCTGCGCAGTTGTGTCGGCGCGTTCTCGATTTATTAAACTCAATCAGCCGGCAATTGATTTGGTGCAAAAAGGAATACAGTTACCCGGGGCAGTTTATATTTGATCGGTGTTAAATGCATAAAGCCTCGATACTATTTTCAGAGCAAGGAAGAACTAGTGGCTTATTTACTTAGATAATGGGTGTGTAGGGGAGGACAGGGAGTTCAGGAAACCGAAAAGGAAAAGATCGAAAGAAAAGAGCCGCGGCAACGTGTTGCTCGATATACTTGCAAATAAACAGATTGTATTTACGTCAAACGAGATCGATGTAACGCGCGCGCGCGCGCATGGAATACTTTAATTCGATAACCTCTGATATTGAGCGGTGTTCGATGAACAAACGAAGCTAGAACTACTTTTCGAATCATTCGAAATATTTACATTATATTCACACTGCAAGTAAATTTGCAGTTACATTCCACAATGAGCAGATCATTTCGGGACTCAATTTC